ATAGAGATAGTAAGGACAGCATGCAGAAAGGCATGGTGATCGCAATCATAGATGGCGCGCGCACGCATTTAACGTATGGGGCTCTTCCCTGGGCGACTGCACCAGATGTGACACGGTGCTAGCGTGGGGCGTGCATGTATGTAAGTATCTGCGTGCATGCATAGGGTCTGCTGCCCTGACCGACGTCGGACGAGTGCGCTCGAAACGCAGATGGGCGCGCACTGTGCGCGAGGCCAATTTAAATTGCAATCATCTTGTCTACCTGCCTGTGCTGGTCAATGTCCGTCCAACCTTTTTTTCTTCCTTGCCTCGCCGGTTCTTCGGGCCCCCTTGTGCGCTCCGCGCGCTGGCCTAGCCATGTTATTATCGTTATTATCCTCCTGGGTCTTCCTGTGCCTCGTCACGGTATTTGCGTTTCATGTCCGCTCGGGCACGGGTGGCGCCAGCTCGTCGTCCCCTTCGTCGGTTTCAGTTCGGCCGACGCAAGATGCAGCGCGTTGCCTACGACGCTAGGGCGCGACGACCCCTTAAAGGATGAGCTGATGGAGAGGGGGGAAGGGGGGGGGAAGGGCGGGTTGCCAGCGCGGCGGAAGGGCGGGGGGGACAGGCCAGGGGGAACGGGAGGAAGGGGTGAGTGAGGATTCGCACATGTAGGTCAGCGGCGCAGACAGCGGCGACGGCGCTAGATGTCTTCCCACGCCGTGGCACTTCCTATCTGCGCGCCGCGAGCGGCCGCGCGCGCAGGATAGCTGCTGCCCCCGCAGCCGCCATCGGTGCCTGAACGCTGACTGCCAGCTGCCGCTGTATTACATTACATATTCAACATCTTGCTCAGCCTCTGGCGCGCTGGGGAGGGCAGTGTTGCTCCGCGTGCATGCGGGCGCCAGGGCGACAGGCGGGGGCATAAACAGCAACAGAGAAGAGCAGGATTGGGGAGGCGAGGGGGCGGAAGGGATCAGCGGGCGACTTGCAGGGAAGAGAAGGACGATCTGACGGTTGGGGGTGGAGCATGGGATGGAGCGTGCGGGACGCAGTGCATGCCTTCTCTGATTCTATCCCACATCCTCCGCAATTCTTCCTTTTTTTCGTCACTACTCACTTGCGGTCTTCCTCCTCATCTCCTCCCCCCCTCGCCCGCCCGCTCCCCCCTGCTTTTCCGCCCGAGTCTTCCCCGTTTTTCGCTGTGTTCCAGCATTCGGCACTTGGCCTCGCAAACCACTCGTATTTGCGACCCTCGGGGCCTCTTCGCCGCGTCGCTCGCCCGCTCGCCAGCCGCCCCGCCCGGCCGCCGCGGCCGCCGCCCCCGCGCAGAGCCTGGGGGCCGCAGGTCTTCGACACTGACTTCGAGGCGGGGGACTCCATCGCCAGCACCTTCGGCCCGAAGCTTTCTGGCACCGCCTTGGGGTCGGAGGCACTGTCGGAGAGGAAGAAGGAGGAGAGAGAGAGAGAGAGAGAGAGAGAGAGAGAGAGAGAGAGAGAGAGAGAGAGAGAGAGAGAGAGAGAGAGAGAGAGAGAGAGAGAGAAAGAGAAAGAGGAGAGAGAGAGAGAGAGAGAGAGAGAGAGAGAGAGAGAGAGAGAGAGAGAGAGAGAGAGAGAGAGAGAGAGAGAGAGAGAGAGAGAGAGAGAGAGAGAAAGAGAGAGATAGAGAGAGAGATAGAGACAGAGAGAGAGAGAGAGAGAGAGCGAGAGAAATAAAGAGAGAGAGAAAGAAATCATTGATCAAGAGAGTGGGAGATAGGGAAGGAACGAACGAGAAAGGGAAAGAGGGTGGCGTGGCGCACGCAGCACTCTCGAGTGTTCGGCTGCGGTCTTCAGCAGAAGCTGTCCTCTCCGATGTGCGCGCGGGATTGGTGAATAGTGGCGCGCGCAAGGCGCGCGGGCAAGTGCGCGCGGCGTGCGAGAGCTTCGGGGGAGATGGCCACGGGGCACATGGCGCCGCGCCTCGGAAGCGACGCGCAGGTAGGTTGCGCATGGCAGCATGGAGAAGGAACGGCAGAGAGAGAGATACTATAAAGCTCTGCCAGCTCGGCTGCTCCGTTCGCGCCAGCGCACGAGTTGCCAACGTCGCCTGGAGCGGCGAGGGGAGCTATTCCAGAGATGAGAGAGAGAGAAAGAGAGAGAGAGAGAGAGAGAGAGAGAGAGAGAGAGAGAGAGAGAGAACGAACACAAGAACGAGGGAGAGAGAGGAGGAGGAGGAGGAGAGTTAATGATAATGGCATGCGGCGAAATAACAATATGGCTGTGTATGTACTTCCGTCTATATATAATATAGGTGTGTGCAACTATGTGTATGTAAACACAGATGCTCACATAGATGGGTGACTTCCAGGTAACATGATTAACGTGATACGAAGGGCACTCATGCCGACGTAAGGGCGGTATACCGTTGACTGTAATAGCGCAGCTCTCACCACCCGATACATAGATGACATGATTGATTTATGCGTCTGTAAATACGTATAATGCATAAGCAGATAAGAACAAAATGCTCCCAGGCAGCATGAGTACAGATGCCGTGAAGAATGACGTTGCCACGTTCATATGCGACCACAAGCTGGAGCACGAGATTGTTGATGGCAGTATCCGCATACATAAGGTTGCTGACCTATGTCTCCATGTACTGGGCCACCGCGAGCAGCGCGGACCGCTGTCTCGCCCTGCCGTGGCATCCAGGATCAAGACATTCCTGCCCCGCCATGTAGCTTCAATGGAAGACCCATCCAACCTGAGGATGTCGGAGTCGAAACTTGATGTCGACCTCCTGCCAGACGTCCTGGCCGAGATAACGGGCAAGCCTTTCACTGCAGCAGACATGGACAGCGTGTGCGCAAAGATCCAACCAGAACTTCAGGCAGCAGCAGCGCCCAAACGGACAAGGATCACGGTGCATGCGCAGGCAGCGGGGCCGTCGGCAGGGAGCGGGGCGCCGCCCGCCCCAGGACCAGCCCCTGCGCCACTAGCGCTCGCCCCAGCAGCGCGCGCGAGTTCGCGGGATCTCGCGCCCCTCGTGGCCGTGCCAGAGGGCGCGGAGGACGCGGCCGCGCTGGCCAGAGTTGCTCCGCAGCCGCAGAGCAGGTACGCGAACCTGCCCCGCGACGTGCTCGTGCAGATGCTTGACTCGAGGGACGCAGACATGGCGGCCGTGAAGCATGACCGCGCCAATGTGCAGAAGAGGCTGAACTATTATATCACCAGGGCAGATGGGCTGAAACAGAAGCTGGACGAAGCGCGCGATGAGCTGGCAGCAACGCGGGCGATGGTCAATTTCCGGCCACGTTCGCATCCGAGCGTGTTCGGAGGATATACGCTCGGGCTGCGCAGAAACATCGCCCACGCCTCAGCACTGGCGACGGCTAGAATGGTCTTGGGGCAGGATGAAGACGAGCCACCGAACCAGAAAGGCCGCGCATCTGTCGTCACCTACGAGTACCGCCTGGCAGCGGCGAAAAGAACCCGGGCAGAAGAATACTACTCACAGTGCGCCCACGACTTCGCAGACACGCTGGACATCCACTTGCTGAAAGCCGACGGCACGAACCAAGAAGCGATCGACAAATCAAAAGTTCACGTGTCCATCGTGCACAGCGCGTGTTGCGAGTATGCGTCGGCAGTCCGTGGCCCCGATGGCGACGACGTCGCCGAAGTCACCCCTGAGGCCGTGGCGGCCTGGGTCGGCAGCCTGGTGACGACGGGAGATCTGCTGAAGATCGACCGCGGCACGGGCGAAGAAACGTTGCAACACTGCCTGCGGCACCTTCAAAGTGTCGGCTGCCCAACGTGGAGGGACTGCGCAACCGCGCGGCGCGCCGCTGGGCGGCATACCGTGTACGCTTTCGGGCTAGATGCGGGGCCTGATAATGTTGGCATGCTTTCCCGATTGCGCATTGAACTGTCAGCTTGCCCCAGCGTCATGTACATTGCGGTGTTCTGCGTCCTCCACCAAACCCACCTCGTGGTCAAAGACTTGTTGTCCTCGTTGGAGCAGTGGCAGTGGGGCCCCGTTGGCGGTGACAAGAAGTATTGGGGGACGGTTGCAACTGTCGCGAATGTGTGGAGGAGCTGCGGGATGCCCGCCAAGATCATGGACGCGGCCCGCGCCGAATGCCCGAGCGAAGACATTGCGCGGCAATTGTTCAAGAGGCTGCCAGGGAAGCCGCTTCGGGGCAGATGGGGCTCCATTGCTGCCATTGAAGACGTGATATTCTCCGCGAGGAACTTCGTCGGCCCAGTGTTCACCAGAGTTCTGACCCCGCTCTTGGCCGCCAAGGAGAGAGGGGGCGCCGATGTCGGCGCAGATGAGGAGGCCGCTTTCAAGGCGGACCAGAAGAATTACAGATTCACCGCGCGGGCCTGCACCAACTCCAACCTCTGGATCGCGACAGTGGCCATTTCGTTGCTCAGCAAACGGCCGCTCACAATCTTCCTCTTCTGGGCGCAGAAGCAAAAGAAAGAGTATGAGGCGTGCGTCCGAGCGGCGCGCCCAGCAGCCTACCTCGGGCCCACGCCGCTCTCGCTCTTGGTCACAGTAAAGGCAGATCGCGTCTACGCGGACCTGCAGGCGCTTCTTGCAGAAGGGGCGGAGGAGAGCCTCGACACGTGGGGGGCGCTCTGGCATCTTGTTCCCGACGAGGAGGTGCCCAGGGCAAGGCTCCTCATCGTGTCCCTGGTCCTGCGGGCGCTAGCTGGGTGGCGCGCGCGCGTCCTGGAAAGAACTGAAAGCTACCCCCTGCGCCTCCTGCGCGCCCTGGAGGACCCGTCGGGCGCGGCGTCCGAGCTGAGGAAAGACATCGCCTACGATCTCTTGCGGGCCCAGCCTGGGGACCTCAGCGCACTCGGCGGCGACCTGGCCCTCAAGGTGAGAGACATCTTCCTGTACGACTGGGCGACGATGCAAATCTCGGGGGAATGTTCACCCCGCCTGTACGCGTGGCTTCTCGTCCTCCGATCCAAGCTCCCGCACGACACCCAGGACGTGGAAGGGATGAACTCTGTGCTGCAAAGGATGTGCAGCATTGCCCCGCGGATGAAGCTGCCGCTGGCGTCGGACAGGATGCGCGCTAAGATGGGGGACCCGATTGCGCCCGAGGAGTGCGTGCAGCTCCACGCCGCTGTACTTGACCACATGGCGAGCGAGGCGTACGCGGGCCGCTTTGCGGAGCTTCCACCGCTGGGCGACCACGCCGCCCCCATCGCCCCGCCCGAGGCGCCTGGCCCTGAGGTCGCCGCGCTGCTTGCGGGCCCCGACGCTGGGGGCGCCGCCCCCGCTGCGGGCCCTGGCCCCGGGGGCGCTCGGCCGCGCGGGCCGCCGAGGCCGCCCCGCCTGCCGCCCGCAGAATTGCTCGCCGCGCGCTACGCGTTCGGGGCCGCGGGCCTGAGGCCGACGTTCATGGACGTGGCTTTCTCGTTCGCCGCGGCGGGCGATGGCGGAGTGGCGGGGGTGCGCCCAGCATTCTTGATGTGCTGGTCGCACTACAGAAGGGTGCACGTGGCTCGCGGCGCGCTGCACCGCCATGGTGGCGGAAGGCACATGCTTCACTTGGACGCCCCCATCCGCATTTGCAGGCTGGCAGACGTGGCGGCGGAGGCCAGGTTGGGCGCGGGGCTCGCAGTCGACGTGGGCGCCCCGATGCCGCTCTGGCGCGGCCGCCTCAAGCGGCTTGCGCTGCAGCGCGCCGAATGCGCAGATGAGGAGGCGCTCGAGGTGCGCCCTGCCAAAAAGGAGCAAGAAAGATGAAGGCGCAGACGGCGGCGACTCAGACCCCGACTGGGGCGGGGGAGCCGCGGGGGAAGACCTTGGCTACTACTACTTTGCCGATGAGCTCTACGCCAACATCATGGAGGAAGAGGGCGAATATTCGGGAGATCACGACCCCGACGCTGGCCTCGCAGGACACCCCGAGGATCAGGTGCTCGATTCGGCGGGGGGCATGCCCGAGGAACCGCCCGCCGATGAAGGCGATGTGGGTGAGATCGAGGACCTGGCGCTCCACGGCCACGACGCCCCAGGCACGCCCATCGATTCCGAGGTGCCAGATGCAGTGGCGGGCGCGGTGCGCGAGCAGCTGGAGAGGATCCGCAGCGCGGAGCGAGAAGCTGAGAGGTCGCACGGGGCGGTGCTGGACGTCGGCACTGTCAGTCTCCTCGTGACGTCCGATGGGCACGCGCTTCTCGTCACGTGGACGCAGCCATCCCGCAGGATGGGCCGCCCAGTAAGGTTGGACACGTTCAACAGGATCGTGGCGCTGATGCCCTGGATGCAGCCAGAGACTGATTACACTGGGCAGTATATCCGAGTGCACGATGCTGGTTTCAGGCAAGGGAGGGCCCCGAAAGGCGAGAGGCCGTCACTGGATGAGTGGGTGGTGATCTTGATGAAGCAAATCAACACGCAGGTGTGCCAGGGCCCGCTGGCCCCGCTGGATGGCGAAGAATGCGTCGTCTGCAGCTCCGCCCCCGACCGCAAGGTCGTCGACGATGGCGCGGGTGACCTCTTGCTCTACCGCTGCAGAAGCTGCCTGCTGGCGTGGCACAATTGTTGCGCTTGCAGGTTATCGCGCCCCGACTTCAGCAACTTCACGTGCCCAGTCTGCTCCGCGTAGGAGGGCGACGCACAATCGTGCCATACCTTCCTGCGGTACAGCGATGCCGAAGGCAACGCTGATGGCGACGGTTGTGCATGTACTTGTGCTGTTGCATTGGTACGTCTTGGCAAATGTTTTTACTTGGCGCGTGTTTCTCGGCACGGTGCTATTGATTGGTTACGTGATCGCTAATGACGAGGCGCGCAGTGTGGAAGGCGCCCCGATGCTGCGCCTGCTTGTTTGGGTACGCAATTCTGGCTGTGATGTCTCGACCACGGGGCAAGGGGGCGGGGGTCGAGAAGGCCCCCCTGTGGCGGCTGTTTTTGCGTCGGCCGCCTTGGCGCGGTGGCAGTCGAATCCAGTCAGAGGGGCGTCGGTCGGGCACCTGGGGGCCCCGTGCGGTAGTTCCCCAGGTCCATTGTAGATTCGCGAGAGCAGGGGGCGGGGGGGATTGCAGGGCATTCGCGGTGGTAGCCTTCTGGGCCTCAACAGCATCGGGCCCGTCGGACGGGCCCATGGGGGGGGGCAATCAACGGGATTCTAAGGGTATTTCGACGACGATGCAGGAAGTCAGCCTGCATTGGTCCATGGCGTCGTTGACTTGGCGATTTGTTAGACCCCGCCCCCTTTCCCGCGCAGGCGGCAACAAAGCAAACTGTGCTGATGCGAAACTGCATGGTCTGTAGTGACTTCTCCCGTGCCACCTTCTGCCTCCAGTGGTTAGCGTTGATGGTATCTTCTGTGAAGCACGCCGAACGTTTCCTGGGAACGCCACAGTGCACGGGCACGCGGCGCGAGTCGCGCGTGTCAATGTCATAGGCGTGCGTCGCGTGCAATGAGGGCCGGGCGGGATGCATCGAACCCTTGCATATTGGCATGTTCGGGCGCACGCGTGCTCGGGTTTCGCGCGCTGATATGTATCGGAATGCGTCTGCGATCGTTTGTAGCACGCGCGATGTCGCGCGCAACCCAGCAGCAACATTTCTCTGCACAGCTCGCGCGCGCACCCCCCAACCTTGCGCCAGCCAGGTGCTGCCAGTTCTACATCCAGATGGAGATCGAGACCGTCGAGGCGCCGCCCTCATGTGGCGCTGCTTCCGCCGCGCGACGTTTGCGTGCAGTCGCGCCAGGGCGGGTGGCTGCAGATGTGTTGCGGCGAAGGTAGAGGGACGGCTTGGCGTCCGCATTCGCGGAGGTCCGTGGCACACGCGCTGCGCGCAGATGCGCCGCGCGCGCTTGTTCGTTGGTCTGCGCGGGCGCCGCTTCGGGCAACATTCGCCTGGCCGCGGCGAGTTGTTCGCGGCAGGGTAACTCCGTGCACGGCGTGCAATGCGCGCGCTGGCGGGCCCACTTAACTTGGAAACGCGGCGGGCCCACCACGGGGGCACGCGACTTGTAGGGGGGGGGGGGGCGTGGAAAAAAACGTTGCCGCACCGATCCGGGGATTCGCATTATCGATTGAACGAGGCTGGCGCCAGGCAACCGGTGGAAGGGGGAGGGTTGCGCAACCGATTCGATTTCATCAGGCGCGCGCGAAACGGGGCCAGATCATTTGCTCGAGGCGACGCCTTCGCAATGGATTCGATGGGCCACCCCAGGACGAAAGGGCCCATTCAATCGATTCGATGGGACTGGCACTTTAGAGGCCCATTCAATCGATTCGATGGGGTAGGGTCCTCCCTGTGAGCTCTATGTAATATATTACATGACGATCTCGCCAGGGACGTTCCATTCAATAAGTTCGATGGGGTCCCAGGATCAGGGCCCATGCAATCGATTCGATGAGAACGCTACCAGGAGTCAGAGCCCCATGCAATTTATTCAATGGCACCTCCCCCAGAGAGGGTCCATTGAATCGATCCAATGGCGCTCCTGGGGGCAGCGCCCATGCAATTTATTCGATGGGACCTGGCCAAAACAGGCTGATCCACGCAATCGATTCAATGGGCCCCCCTGGGGAGTGGCCCATTGAATATATTGAATGGGGCGCTTGGGTTTTCAACATTTTCGGCGCAATTCGCGCAGTTTTTTTAGAAAAAAAAAACGCGCGAAACCAAAAACAAAAAAAATGCCATGGTTTGGTTGGGGGCGATTGCGCAGCGGTTAACTAATCAACGTCTGGAGGTTTCCGTTTATCTGTTTTTTTTTTGTTTGTGACGATTCTTTTTCTGTTGTCACGCATTGCGTTTGTCGCCGTGGTGGGTGTTTGTTTCGCAGTTTAGCTGATTTCTTTTCGATCGCAATCCTGCGTTGCATGCTGTCGCGCGTGCTGTTTGGGTTGTGACGGGCAGCGTCGTGGGGCGCGCGCGCGCTATGGCGCAGGCGCGCATTGTCGGATTGAGTCAGCGCTGTGAGCAATGCAACGTGCCCAGTAAGCAATACCAGCTTGGCGTGCAAGGGCGGGGGGAACGCATGCGGCGCACGAGACGAGGACTCATGACAGAGGGAGACGATGAACGCATGTGCAGACGAGCTCGGGGATGGGTAGTTGCCGAGATAGGTGGGATGAGGGAGAGATGATTGCCGCCGAGACGGGTTGCTACCCTTCAGCTGCCTCCAGGAGCGGTATGGCCCCGGCAAGACCACCTTGGAATACATCCAGTTGGTCGAGGGTGAGTTCATGACCTCTGGCAGCAGGGGCAAGCATATCAAACTGATCAAGAACGGCGAGTTCACTATCGTGCGGGGGGGGGTCTCCTATACCATGGCCATCGCATTTCTCCTGCACTGCTCCGCTGTGGGCAGATCTATGTCACCCTCCATGGTTACAATATCATGGTCAGGAGTCCCCTCCTTGTCACGATCCTTCCCGTCTTGCCTACGCCTTCAATCTCGCTCAGTTTCCTTTCCCAACCCCATCAGCTATGATCGTGCCTGACATTATTGCTTGGCCTCCGCCTCCTGCCACTGAGCTAATATCTGATGATTCCCTGCTGCGCGTGCTGCCAGTTGTTGTTCCAATGGCGCCCTTGCTTACTACCCTCCTATTCATCGGCGTCTTCTTCTTCCCCCCTTTTCACTTGTCATCCTCGTTCTCTTCCTGCCCCCTCGCTTGTCTAACTCGTCGATGTCTTCGCTGCTGGCGGGCCACTCGCCCCCGCGCCACGTCTTGCCGTCTCGAGCGAACACTTGGCGCGTTATGCTGTACTATATTCCAGTGGTTGCAGGTGATGCGGCAGGGCTATGCTGAGGGGGATGTCATAGGTAACGCGGTGGGATAAGTGGGATGGGGAACTTAAGCGCTCAAACGGGGGTTCGACTTGTAGGGGTAAATAACTATACCTATATAGATAGCACGTTATACGCACATATGTAGACACACCTGTGAAATGTGAGGCGGAAGGTCAGAATGGCGAGGGTGATCATGAATAGGCGGCGGACGCAAGTGCAAAAGGAATGATGCGATGCATGGCACCCCCAGCGCCTGGGGCCGGGCAGTACCGCCACAAGCTCAACGACAACAGGGGGGATGAAGCTTCTATATTGCAGAGGAAAGCTTCGATTGAGGCTGTGGGGCTGCTGTATGAGACGAAAGGCCCTGCCTATCTAGTGGAAGATGATGACGAAGACCGCGAGGCCAGGGATGGGCGGGAGCTCGCGCTTGTTCCTCTAATGCTAGCCTGCTTGACGTCCCATGGATGCTCGCCAGCTCCTGTCAGGTGATCGCACTATGAGGCTCCCCGCTTTCCCTCGATGCTCGCCCGCTTCCAGTGATGCTCGCCTGCTCGTCCTTGGATGCCACCTCCTCGCCCTCTCTTCTGCTCCTTGCGCCGCTGCTCTGCCAGGGTTTCTACGGCGCCATCCACGGCGCCACCCTGGCCCAGGGAATGCAGCGCGCGTGGGAGCAGGACGTCAAGAAGGAGAACGCCAATGTACAACGGTCGGGGGCGGGGGGTCAGCGCGGCCAGGGAGGGCGAAGAGGTCGGAGGCAGACATGGGTGAAGGGCCGCAACATGAGTTGCGGTCGACTGGGGTGACGACGGCAGCAGCGGCCCCGACATCAATGCAAAATACTTCGAGGAGTGGAAGAGTGGAGGACTGGGGCTAACATGACTGGCATGAGTAACACCATCTAAAATTGATGGGTCTCTTTCTCTCTCTGGCTCTCGGCCTCACGTGGGGGTAGGGCTGGAATTAATTTCTTGTGATGGGGCGGCTGCGACAGGGGGAATGGTGAGGTCAATTGAACGTGGGTGGCCGCACTGCAAAGTATTCCGGCGGGACATCACCGCGGGCTGCATTGCTTTCCTGAAGAGGGTCGGGAACTTGACGAACGCCGAGCAGACAGTGGGCAGGGGAGGTTCATAATTCATATGTCCTTGACAATGTAGCGTTGCTTGTTTCGCATGTTCAATTTGGCCCCCCGTATGGGATGTGCACGTGTAGCAGGTTTCGCCCTGCTGACCGCCAGGCGAGATGTGGTTGTGCCTCGCGCATGCGCACGCGCGCGCTCTGATCCCTTCAGCGTTCCTCGCACGATGGGTTATGAGTTGTGTTCGTGGAGCGCGCGGATGGGGGCAATGCTGTATCGCGCAACTGCTCTGGTCACCCAATTGCGTGTCTTCGGGGTCGCCTCGGCCAACTTTTGCTCTGGCTGGGCTGATCTCAGCGGGGGGGGGGGAGTCGACTACTATTTTCGAGAAGCTGGCCGAGGTGGACCAGCTGGAGAACATATTCTCAAAGGTGGCCGAGAAGAACAACTGGTCGCCAGGGTCCCTCGGCCAGACGCTGTGGAAGAAGAAGCGATGGGAAGTCGTGGAGGCGGGGCACGGGGCAATGGTGAGGCACGAGGAGAGGGGAGGTTGCCGCGTCGCTAGGGCGAGGGGTAGACATGTGCGACATCAGAGTTGCAGCGTTGGCGAATGGGCCATGGGGCAAATGCACAGACGCTGTTTGATCTAACCAGGGAGCGACTGGGGGTCGCATGAGTGGCACGAGGACGAGAGGAGAAGGGATAAGGAATAAG